TGTAAATCGGTTAAACGTTCGGCGACGAATTTTAAAGACAAAGGAAGAAAGTAATTCCATAGACGAGTACGAATTTGGTGCACGTGCATTGTATCATTTCGTGACTAGATACATACTCGTCTACGGTAATCTATCTTGATACCAAAAGTACTTCCTTCCAATAAATATGTGTGTATCATTAAAACATATATATGTGTTACATATTTCATAAGATTCATGCGTGCTCTCGAGGCAACATTGATAATGAAAGACTCCGTTATTTTGCTACAAAACCTGTTATAAATAAATAAATAAATAAATACACATACACTCATACATATATATATATATACATATATGTATAATAATATATATACTCATTATTGTATATACATACATAATCTATATCATTTGTAAAAAAAACTGAAAAGTCAGAGCATAAGCCTTCAGGTCTCTCTATTTTGAAGATATTAATATATCTTTACATATTTTTATATAATATGAATTTATATTAAAATCTTAAATATCACATGATAATTGTAAATACACGTAGTAAACGCCGGATCTTGTCTCATTAGAGATTTAATATTTAGAAAAGAATATTGTAAGAGTACATATTTACAATTCCGTTTTATTTACCCTACATTGCATCATATATTCCTAATGCATTGCGTTCAGAAAAATGAAATATTGCAATGTCGCCAGATGTATAATAACAATTGGAAAGTTTATCTTCAAATCATCTTAAATCATATTAAAAAAATGTAAAGTATATATTACGAGAGCGAAGTTGTCTCTACAATTGTAATACATAATCTCTAATTTAAAAAATACAAGATGGTTTAGAAAGCCCTTAAATTAAACGTTCACGTGCGTTGTAATTATGTTGACTTTACGGGCTGACGAGTTCGATGTGCGATCAGAAGATGGGTAATTGTTTTCTTTTGTCTCGTTGCAGCGCGCGCGAAGTCCAGAGATTGATACGGATGCTCGGACGGATAAAACGAGAATTGCAGAGTGTTCGATTCCACCAGACAGCTACGCCGAAAACTTGTAAGCAAAGGTTTTTTCAGCAAGCTCGAGTCTGCCCTCATTAATTGATTGAGACTTTATATATGGTTGGGACAATATTCTAGCATATTCCTAGGACCAAACCGAACCGAAAATTCTTACATCATTTTTTTTCTCTGACGAATAATTATTGAGATAATTAAAGAGATTCTCTCGCGCATATACAGAATGTCCTATCTAATTTGATCATCTTAAATACTTTACTTGTTGATAATACAGAAAAATATGTCCGAGAAAAACGTTAATTATTTGAAAGGGGCAAATATGATTGATGAACAAACAATTTCTCGAGATTTTAAAATTATTGATATTTTTTTAAATAGAACTTTGATCCGTTTTACATTTTTTTTTTTTAAATTATATTAGCACATGATACGTTCTCTCATATTTTATGTGTTTCTAAAAAAGTATGATTATTTGAATCATAACTAATATTAGTAAACACATTTTTTATATCTTTAATATCATATAGCTTTAATATCAAACGGTTGTAAGCATTCCTTCTTATCATAACAAATTACAAACATTTGTAAGCTTTTGATTTCATTTATTACAATCTGATTTAACAATTTATTACGATTTGATTTTGTGATTATGAAACATTTAGTCATTTCTATGAAATAATAGTATTGTATAGTTAAATAGAAAAAGTTGGACATAGTTTACATGTATTGCGCTACATGCAAAAAGATACTGTTATTGTTTTCAGAAGTACATCGAATCAGCGTAATGCGACGGACAAAGGAAAGATTCTGCTCTCCATCGGCGAGACCGTAGCGTCGTGGAAGAAGACAGGAGATTACGAAGTCGAAGTCATAAAGTCCGACGAACCGCATGTTCCCAGCAATGCAAGGTATATGTACGAGATCCTATCGAAACAGGGACATCTTTTTACGTTGGTGTGCCGGACTCTAGGCAGTAGGCTGTTCAAGACGTGGTCGGCAGCGACTGCGACGACCGGTAACGTCGCTGCCGAACTACGTTACGTGAAGAACGTACGAAGCATAAATCAAACGTACTTCCGGACATTCGGTCGCATCAACGCGAAGAAGGAATCGGCAAACTCGGTGACATTGGAGGGTTGCACGAGACGAAGGGGCGCTTCGATGGCCAACTCGATCGAGGTGGACTTTCGCAATCTGAAACAGTACTCTGTATTCTCCGGACAGATTGTAGCGGTCGAGGCCACTAATCCGATAGGCGACACATTATACGTGAAGGAGATATTCGCGAAGGCGTACGCGCCATCCGCATCCGCGCCTAGACTCGAATCGAAGATCAATGTTTCTGTCGCGGCGGGACCGTTTACCGCGCTCAATAATACGCTTTACCAGCCGTTGTGGGATTTGATGGAGAAAGTTGCGTCAGATGAACCGCACGTTTTAATACTTGTCGGACCTTTCCTCGAATATACGCACCCCGAAGTACAAAATAATCTCATTAGGGATACACATCAGGAATTTTTCGAGAAGATTCTCATAAGGATAATGGAATCGACAAGGTAATATATAGGATATTTTTCTTCATAATTATATACAGATTGATTTACAAAAAGACTATATTTCTGTTTTTATTATAATTATAATATTAGTAAACACATTTTTTATATCTTTAATATCATATAGCTTTAATATCAAACGGTTGTAAGCATTCCTTCTTATCATAACAAATTACAAACATTTGTAAGCTTTTGATTTCATTTATTACAATCTGATTTAACAATTTATTACGATTTGATTTTGTGATTATGAAACATTTAGTCATTTCTATGAAATAATAGTATTGTATAGTTAAATAGAAAAAGTTGGACATAGTTTACATGTATTGCGCTACATGCAAAAAGATACTGTTATTGTTTTCAGAAGTACATCGAATCAGCGTAATGCGACGGACAAAGGAAAGATTCTGCTCTCCATCGGCGAGACCGTAGCGTCGTGGAAGAAGACAGGAGATTACGAAGTCGAAGTCATAAAGTCCGACGAACCGCATGTTCCCAGCAATGCAAGGTATATGTACGAGATCCTATCGAAACAGGGACATCTTTTTACGTTGGTGTGCCGGACTCTAGGCAGTAGGCTGTTCAAGACGTGGTCGGCAGCGACTGCGACGACCGGTAACGTCGCTGCCGAACTACGTTACGTGAAGAACGTACGAAGCATAAATCAAACGTACTTCCGGACATTCGGTCGCATCAACGCGAAGAAGGAATCGGCAAACTCGGTGACATTGGAGGGTTGCACGAGACGAAGGGGCGCTTCGATGGCCAACTCGATCGAGGTGGACTTTCGCAATCTGAAACAGTACTCTGTATTCTCCGGACAGATTGTAGCGGTCGAGGCCACTAATCCGATAGGCGACACATTATACGTGAAGGAGATATTCGCGAAGGCGTACGCGCCATCCGCATCCGCGCCTAGACTCGAATCGAAGATCAATGTTTCTGTCGCGGCGGGACCGTTTACCGCGCTCAATAATACGCTTTACCAGCCGTTGTGGGATTTGATGGAGAAAGTTGCGTCAGATGAACCGCACGTTTTAATACTTGTCGGACCTTTCCTCGAATATACGCACCCCGAAGTACAAAATAATCTCATTAGGGATACACATCAGGAATTTTTCGAGAAGATTCTCATAAGGATAATGGAATCGACAAGGTAATATATAGGATATTTTTCTTCATAATTATATACAGATTGATTTACAAAAAGACTATATTTCTGTTTTTATTATAATTAGATGTATCTTATTGCAGGAAGAGCACGCAAGTCGTGTTGGTAGCTTCTAATCGCGATGCACATCACGAACCTATATTTCCAACTCCTCAATATACTGTTTTTAACAAAAAGTTGCAAAATTATTCGAATTTGAAACTGATGCCAGATCCCTGTATATTAGATGTTGCCGGTTTGAAAATCGGAGTCACGTCGGTCGACATAATCAAACATATCGGGAAAGAAGAGATATCGTAAGTATTATAAGTGTAATTATTATAAAATTGCAACAACAACGAGATAACGTTCTTCGATTACAACCATCATAAATATTTTGTATATAAAAAATATAAAAATGCGTGCATTATTTTCAGAAATATAACAGGTGACAGACTCGGTCGTCTGGCTGATCATGTGCTCGCTCAAACATGTTTCTACCCCGTGTATCCTCCGTCCGAGGATCTGAACGTGGACACGGATTTATGGGAAAAGCATGCATTTTTCGATCAGCAACCGCATGTGTTAATTTTACCGTCCGATATGCGATCTTATTGCAAAGTGATCAACGAATGCGTGACTCTGAATCCGGAACGCATGCACAAACACGCTTATGCCAGATTGAGCGTGAAACCGGCCCTCGGTGATAAATGGAGTTCCAGTAATATCTCTTGCGAGATCGTTAAAGTTTGATAGCTTTAAGATAAAAATGTGTATGTAATAACCAAACAGTTGAATATTTTTATATTTATATAATATTGAAAATATGTTTATGAGTTGCTATAATATAATCTCTTTTTTTTACAATTCTTCCTTGTCCTATTTTTTGTGTTTTAATATTTAATTATATATGTTTTCTAAGTTAATCAAACCTTTTTTAAAATGTGCAATTTATTTTTAGATAATTTTCTTTTTACAAGAAAATTTAAATATACACCAATTTATAAATGTATATAGAGGATTTTATAAATTATTCGAATGGGATTTAACGAAATTATTATTTAAGACTCGATTTAATATTCGATTTAATATTCGATTTTGCAAATATAAAGAAATAGCTTTAAGTCCATGTCATATTACGCATTGATAATTGAAGATTTGAATTTCACTAATCAGAATAAAAGGAGCTAAAATTTCTTTTTTTCTGATTGATCGAATTTCAATCTTTAATCTTAATTTTCAATGCATAGTCTGATACAGGTTTTACATTAGATTTTCGTTAAGGAAATATTTATCATCGCGTTATTTAATATTTTTGAATAGAACCATCGTGTCCTGAGCCACCGATAGAGATCGTCGCTATTCAACTTTGTGTGTTTGATTCGTTTCGCGCACGTTTGATGGCACCACGCGCTCGATGCTGCTGCCCCCGCAAAGTTCCCCCGGAGTTTTCTACCGCTGGTGGTCCATAAAATCGGCCATTACATCAACATTTTTGTCGTGCAACGAGCAGCTACAAGCGGTTCGCGATGGGAAAATTGCGACCGACCTGGTGAACTATTTCTCTCCCCCTTCCCCGGCATTGGTGAGTAAACATAATCGACGATACAGTCCCGCGTGTATAGCCTCGAATCTAGGATCGGTGCAGAGCGATAAGCAATATCGTTGATTTTGCCAAATCCTCGACCGCCATCTTTGTTGCACAAACTCGCTATTCTGTGTACTGTATCTACTTCAGCGACTCTACTCGATGGTATACGTCGTACGCCTTGTTTTTTTTTCTTGCACTCACACTGTCCATCCTATCCCTTCCTTGCGTCGCGAAATAATCGTATGTATCGCGCGGCAACCTTGATCCCTCGCTTCGAAGTCAATCGTCGATTACCAGACTGTCGAATGTCCATGCGATCGTGCATGCTGTCGTGCGAAATATTTTCGCGAAATCGCCATAAAATTTCTCCCTTTTTTTTTTTTTGACATTTCTTTCCGCAATGTGTCAAAGACGCATCGTGATATTTCGTCCTGTCAGATATCATCGGCGAGATTTCCATAGCAACGATGCATTACGAAACGATTACGTAGAGGCGTTATATGTGCAAGTGCATCGGCTGCGCTGGTCACATATCAGCTGGTAGTACCACTGTACTCTCGTGAAACCTCGTCACGAGCGCGATTCGAATCCCGGTGACCAGTATCGACTGGAATTTTACGCGCGAGTATCTTCATTATCGACGGATGTGACAACAATGCGCATTATTTATTTAATAATTTTGACAAGCATATATGTGTTTTATATAAATCCGTATATTTTGTCCCTTTTCATATTTTTCTTCCCTATTTATAGAATTTCTATATTTAAATATAATTATTCAAAAGAAAATACAATTATTGTAGAGACAATCATATGATAGAATCGACTTAGATTCTAATATATATAATGTTAGAAAAATCATGAATAAAAATTCATCTTGAAAAAAATTTTATCTTGAAAACTCTTGTCTATATCAAGAAGTAAATTTCAAAATACATTGTTTTGAGGATTGAAAAGTCGGATATAAGCTTGCTGAGATTATATGTGTTTTACAAAAACTTGTATATTTTGCCCCTCCATATTTTTTTCCCTCTATTTTTACATATCGCTTCAATTATATGGATTATAATATTAGACAAATAATGAATGTTTTGTCTTGAAAACGCTTGTCTAGATCAAGAAGTAAATTTCACAATACACGTTTCGAGGGTTCAAAACCCGGATGTAAGCTCGCTGAGATTATGTGTTTTACAAAAACTTGTATATTTTGTGTCTGTCCATATTTTCCCCTTTTCTTCGAATTTTTACATTTAATCTTTATTTCTTCTAATTATTCAAAAAAAAAAAAAA